TAAAGTCATTATTGTTTTAAATAAGAAAAGCATGGAATAGACATTACAAAAAATAGCTTTAGAAAGAAATATTTTGATTCTGCATATAATGTATTACACATTAACTTTTAAGGCTACAATGTGGTCAAAACATTGTTTTCAGAAGCTGCATCGTTAATGATCATTAGGTTCATTAATGCATTTACCCTGCAATTAGAATTACACAAGTTATGCTATAAGATTAATGGGTTTTAAAAAAATAATATTGAAATATTAAATGATTTAAAAATTGAAATTAAACTCTAAATATGAAACTAAAATTGCCAGTAGGTGATGTCTTAATGATCTTAATGAGTGAGTCATTCATTCAACTGATTCCTTCAAGCAGCTGATTCATTCTGGAATGAAGTGAATTGATTCACTGAATCACTCGATTTAGAACTTTTTTTAGCTTGCAAACACAATATTACTTTCTTGTTAATTGAACTGTTGTATAAATCAATATCACTTTTTTTTTTTTGTCCTCCTATTTTGAGTTTTAGGCTCAGTTAACAGCATTCTAATAGACTCCTACATCAGATTCATCAGAAACTGAATCAATCCTTAATCATTTTAACACGTTATTTTCCCCATAATTAATCGCATCCAATTAATGCATTAAATCGACAGCCCTACAAGTATGTGCTGATTGGAAAGTGCTGCATACTTCATAATTTTGGTAAAATAAGTAAATGAATGAGTGAAAACTTGTTTGTGTATTATTTCTGTAATTAGATTTTAGATCTTTTTTCGTCTGTTTGCCATGAAGTCCGTCTGATGTGTTTAATCAGAGTTTTTTCTTCGCTTCAGTCACGAGACATAAATCGAGCAAACAAGAAAGAGGTGAAGGAGGCCAACAAGTACTACTTCATCGAGTCCTCCATCGCTCTCTTCATCTCCTTCCTCATCAATGTGTTTGTGGTGGCCGTCTTTGCAGAGGCCTTTTATGGCAAGACCAACATGGAAGTGGTGAGCACTTTCACATCTACTTCCTGTTAGAGAGGTTTGCAGTGAGTGTTTCACATTTGAGCATAAATCTATAACTGCGCTCCATTGGTATTTTCTCTTCAGAGTCTGCAGTGTAATGAAACGGGAAGTGCTCACAGTGAGCTTTTCCCAGCCAACAATGAAACACTGGAGGTCGACATCTACAAAGGGGTATGATGCAAACCAACGCCTTACGCTGGATTGTTTGGAGTAATCTCACTATGAATATATATCTACTAAATATGATAACCACACTGACGTTCAGAAATATAAATGTGTATCTTGAACACCGTTTTGGTTAAAAGCATCTGCCAAATGCATAAATGTAAAGGCTGTATGTATCCCATGACCGGAGGAGTTTGGTGACAGCGGACCTATGATTTCCACAATGCGGAAAACGCAGATGGAATTGCAGAATCCAGTCAAAAAAACAGAATTTTCTGTTAAACATGGAATGTCACGGAATTTGGCAAATTTTGGATGAATAAATCAAAAGTAGGTCAGTACAGTGAAATCAAAACACGATATGGACAAGTGTCTGTTAATATTAAGGGTGTCTGCAAAAATACCATTTAAATATGAATCCTGCATGTTCTGCGCATCTATGTGTGGATTGGTTTCCTTTACTACACACATACTGAAACACAGTGATCTCAGCCTATGAACACATGAACATAATCTCTAGAACTGCTCTGAGGGTCACTTCATGAGCATTTTACCATTTCTTTTGAGTAAAACTATCGTCATATCATACACAAACAGAAACTAAAGGTTGACACAGCAAGCGGTCAAAATGAAAGTTTGGTTTAACTTGAAGAAATTGTTGCGGAAATATTACTTAATTTAATGATAGTACTACTACTGATAATACAATTATTATTAAAACATTATTTGTTTACCAGAAAAAATATATACCAGAATTTATTTAGCTGAAAATTTCACAACACAGTATTTCTGGGGGAAAAAAATAAATAAATGAAATAAAAATTAATTTTTATAAGATTGAAGAGAGATGCTTTTGATTATCACAATTTAATGAAATCATTAAAATGGAATCCAAGTATTTGGTAAAAAAAAACAATTAATTAAAAAAATAAAATAAAACTGAATTTGAAAAAAAAAAATAAAACATTTCACAGGGCATTAAAATGTAAGTTTTGTCAAACTTTGAATAAATTGCCTAAATGTGTTTAAGTTCGCGCGAATCATTCGTGATCCAGCTTCATCTACAGAAGAAGTGAGTATAAGGGTTTTTAATGAATCTTTGCAAATCGCCTTTCCTAATAATGTGCTAGTTAGCCAGTTCTGCGGCTGAAGTTTACAGTCTGCTTGTTACCCCACGGCAGAGAGGGGCGGGGCCAGCAGAGCTCATTAGCATTTAAAGGGGCAAGCACTGAAACGGGTCGCTGTGAACAGAGCTGATTTCGACAGGGTAAAAAGGGTGTTGTTTTACACTAACATTTAAGAAATTTTAACCAAAGTATGTTGTAGACTTTTCATTAAAACCCTAAAGAATCATAGCAACTTGTGGAAAATGGGCATCCGATGACCCCTATAATTGTGTAAGTTTAATGATTTAATTCATCGATTAATTAGACATGCTTTTTGATGAATAAAAATGTAATTTAACCATAAAAAAAGAGTCTAGACAAATTAAAACTGAAAAAAAAAAAAAACGGAATCCAGAAAAATGAAAGTGTAAAAAACTGAATTTGGAAAAAATTAAATGGATTTCATTGGTCCCTAAGCGCCACCTGTTGGTCAGTGTCATATTTAATGATTCAAATGTTAGATGTTATATTGAGTGAAATATTCATGTCATTTGTATGATCTTTGTGTGCTTGTGTTTGAAGGGTGTGGTTCTGGGCTGTTTCTTCGGCCCGGCTGCGCTGTATATTTGGGCCATCGGGATCCTCGCCGCTGGGCAGAGTTCAACCATGACCGGAACCTACTCGGGTCAGTTTGTGATGGAGGTATGTGGGTCTCCAGCCCGTTCGGTTCAGTGAGTGGCGTGATGTTTGGGCATGTGTGAAGTCTGTCTGGCTCCTGCAGGGCTTCCTGAACCTGCGCTGGTCCCGCTTCGCTCGCGTGCTGCTGACGCGCTCCATCGCCATCTTCCCCACGCTCCTGGTGGCCGTCTTCCAGGACGTGCAGCATCTCACCGGCATGAACGACTTTCTGAACGTGCTGCAGAGCATGCAGGTACACACATGCTCCGGCAGCTCTCCAGGGGGCGCAAAAATACTATACTAATTCCTAGTAAATACTATAGTGTTTTTGAACCATACTATAGTAAAGTGTATTTATTACACTGTATATGTTATAGTATTTACAACACTTTGTTAATGAGTGCTACAGCATACTGTAGTGAACTGATAAACTAATAAATACTGTAGTATACTTTAGTTTTTAATACAGTAAACTGTAGTGTATTGTAGTTTAATATGCCCTGTAGTTGTATTAAGATAAGAAAGATTCTGTAATACGCCCCTGATCTGGGCTCTTTGTGTTGAGCAGCTGCCGTTCGCTCTGATCCCCATCCTGACCTTCACCAGCCTGACCTCACTGATGAACGACTTCGCCAACGGACTGTGAGTATCTGCTGTGCTTCACTCCGCAGCTAAACTCAGAATGTGTCGGGAAGCTCAGCTTAGGTAGACAAGGGAAGCAGATGAGGAGCCTGAACGACAGGGTTTTTCATGTGCGAGATGTTTTGATCAACTCCTTCTTTTTCCCCTCATGAACACAGTAGGGTCGTTCTGTGTCAACTCAACCAGAGGTCCCTGGCTCAAATTTTTTTTTTTTTTTCTGGTGAAAGAAATTTATAAATTAAGAAGGAAGCCAAAATATTAAATGTCATGGATTCATATACTAATCCACTGGTTTGTAAAGGTTAAAATGAAAATGTTCATTATTTTCACAAATTTAGAGTCAAATTACTGGAGGGTAAAAATGGCAGCATCATGTTAAAAATGTTCACCTGAGCATGTGGATATTATTGTTTTTCTCAACGTTAACATGTGAAACAATATAAACACGATAAGCATTGGCCGACTCGAGTGTATGTATGTTCTGTACTGGTCTGCTTGATTTTTCCATTTGCTCTGCTTGAGCTTGAATGCTTTTGTTCTTTAAATATATATATCTTTTTTGTTTACACATGATTTCAACTAAAAGAAAACCTTGAGATATAACGTAACTTTGTTGTGTAAAATGCCTGATTATAAGCTTGTTCACAAATAGTGACAAAACTTGATTATTGAAAAATAACATATTTTTCAGTTAAATATAATTTAAATAAACAAATATTAGTTTTTTATGAGCCCAAATATTCGAGTACATTAGTTTTGAAAAATGCCCATCCCTAATTATTATAAATGAAAATTATACTTAGGTCATAAGTTATTTGTGAACTAAATCCAAGTCCAAGTAAAGCCAAGTCAAGTGTAGGTGTATCTGCGCTCTTCACAATACTTTCATTAGTGATTCTTTAGCCACTGTCTGCAGTGCTCTGGATACTTAACTTAAGGCCGAATGATTTCTGTGATGCAGACAGAATCATGGAATCCAGTCGGAGAAATGGAATTTACTGTATAACATTTTGGAATTTTGCAAATTTTGAATGAATAAATCAAAGGTAGGTCAGTAGTGGAGAAAAACTATTGACATATCGTCTACACACAGAAACCTAAAGGTCTTGAACCTAAACCCTCGCTCCTGCTAAACGATTCGACTCGGGTCAAGCCTATCCAGTGGGAGCAGACTGGGAGTGGCATTGGACGGCAACATGCCCAGTGCATTATGGGTGTTTTTTCTGTAGTCTGGTGGCACCGATTTCACCGTTTCACCTTTCTACTGCATAGACAGCCAAGCTTTATTATAAACATCTTCATGCCTTATAGTCATATTTAACAGATTAGAGCTGGTTGATAATATAATGTGCATTTTTTGATGATGTAAACAATCATTTGGGATTTTGTATATATCACTTTATGTGAGTGTACTCTATGTAAGCGGAAAAGTAGGACACATATCCAATGTTAAATATATTTCTGGTTGATATTTCTGTTGCATTTTGTGTCAAAAAAATCTTAAATGCTTGAATGTTTATGTTTAACTGTCTGTATGGTGTAGGCTGCTTTAAGTAAAATCTAAATTAATAATGTTAAAATAACCCAAATAAATGCCTAATGCGTTGCTCATGACGTGAGATGATGAAAAACCCGTATTCTGTTTGCATCATAAGGCATCAGACCGCACCGGAGAGGCTTCTCATGAGCCAACATTTAGTAACTGCTTTCTTACATGCAACTAAAACAATCTTCAGAATCCGTCTGTAGCTGATGGATAAGCGTCCAGTGGGTGGTGCTGCGGTGTGGCTGTGTGAACGCTGTCGGTCTCTGCTATATTCACTGATTCTGTTGAGCGCTCATGAGCTGTGATCAGCGGTGGATGACGCTTGGGTGTTGTGTTTGCAGCGTGTGGAAGATCGGCGGGGGTCTGCTCATCCTGGTGGTGTGCGCCATCAACATGTACTTTGTGGTGGTGTATGTGACGGCCCTCAACAGCACCGTCCTCTACGTCTTCTCTGCCCTCCTCTCCATCGCCTATCTCAGCTTCGTCTGCTACCTGGTGAGACATCTCTCTGTTTCAGACAAAGATGACTGTTCAAGTCCAGTCATAGTGTGTGTGTGTGTGTGAGAGAGAGAGAGAGAGAGAGAGAGAGAGAGAGAGAGAGAGAGAGAGAGAGAGAGAGAGAGAGAGAGAGAGAGAGAGAGAGAGAGAGAGAGAGAGAGAGAGAGAGAGAGAGAGAGAGAGAGAGAGAGAGAGAGAGAGAGAGAGAGAGAGAGAGAGAGAGAGAGAGAGAGAGAGAGAGAGAGAGAGAGAGAGAGAGAGAGAGAGAGAGAGAGAGAGAGAGAGAGAGAGAGAGAGAGAGAGAGAGAGAGAGAGAGAGAGAGAGAGAGAGAGAGAGAGAGAGAGAGAGAGAGAGAGAGAGAGAGAGAGAGAGAGAGAGAGAGAGAGAGAGAGAGAGAGAGAGAGAGAGAGAGAGAGAGAGAGAGAGAGAGAGAGAGAGAGAGAGAGAGAGAGAGAGAGAGAGAGAGAGAGAGAGAGAGAGAGAGAGAGAGAGAGAGAGAGAGAGAGAGAGAGAGAGAGAGAGAGAGAGAGAGAGAGAGAGAGAGAGAGAGAGAGAGAGAGAGAGAGAGAGAGAGAGAGAGAGAGAGAGAGAGAGAGAGAGAGAGAGAGAGAGAGAGAGAGAGAGAGAGAGAGAGAGAGAGAGAGAGAGAGAGAGAGAGAGAGAGAGAGAGAGAGAGAGAGAGAGAG